TTTTATATAACAATATATTACATATATTATTTATATAATATTATATTATATATATTTATGTCTAAGTTTAAATCATAACATCTCATGTGATAATGTGGTTAGTGACTTCTTTTGTTTAGATTTGATCCAGGTTTGAATCCCACACTTTACATCTATTTTTCTCAATTTTAGTTTAACGATCCAATTTCGAGCCGAACACGAGCCGAACACGAACACGAATATTTAAATCGAGCCGAACACGAGCCAAGCCTGAGCTCGCTCAAGCTCGGCTCGTTTACAGCCCTAATTGCGTCCTATTTAGTGTTATTAATTTATATATAGCATAAAAATTATTAATACATGAATTTAAGTGTTATTATGCAGAATTATGATAACATTATTTTATCTTTTAATTTAATATTCTTTCATGTTTATCTGAATTTTATAATTGAATTTTATAATAAATTCGTAATAATTTGCACCACATTTTAAACGGCATGAGCTGTGCTATGAACCATGCGCTATGCTTATGGCTCTGTGAAGGCTTTTGTGGTATGGCGCGCCATTCACCATTGACAAATATGGCTTGATACATCATATGCATTGCCTTGGTGGCAAGGGTGAAATCTAGAAATTTTCTTAATTGGTGCACAAATTGACACTCTTAAGGTACTTTCTCCAAATTTCCTTTTCCTTTGATACAATCACATATTATAAGATTACACTTCAAATTAAAAATCATACAAAATTCAACATAAAAATTGGAGTTATTCCAATAATAAAAGTGTATATATATCTGTGTTTGTGTGTGTGTCGCTCGTCATGACTCTTTGGTAGTCCAGCATAGCGTAAGTCCCGTGGGGTCACGGGCTCGGTTCCGCCTTAGTGCATTTGCCATGCAGTGCGGGATCGAGTGGTTAGGCACATGAGGGGGGCTAGGGGCTCGTATCATAACCTCTAGCCATCCTTTTATATATATATATATATATATATATATTTAGTAAGTACTTCATATTTTTCGATCAAACTTTGTTATTAAATTGAGTTGGAATGAATTGTTTTTATACTTAATTTATTTTGACATAATTTTTGAACTTTAATTAGATTAGCTAAATCACATTTAGTATAAGATAATATATTATTTAATTTTTAATTAACACAATTGAATTGATTAATCACAATAATGTTTATTTAGTTAAACTAAATTATATTGGAGAAAAAGGATTCATGTAACCGACCCGAAGTAGTGGGATTAAGGCTTAGTTGTTGTTGTTGTAAACTAAATTTTAAATGATATAAATTTGTGGTTAATTTATTTTTGATTAATTAATATACTTATTAAGATTATATTAAAATTTAAAATTTTAACTCATTGCAACAGACCCTATTGTCCTTGTCTATCTTCCTCTTTCACATATATTCAAACTTCAAAACCCTCGGCAATAAAAAAATTGAGGAATCCATGATGAGAGCTTGCTGGAGAACGTTTTAATGAGATCAACAGTGTGTGAAAAAGTGGAGTTACCCTATATTTCTCATTCTCAATAAAATTTTGTTTGTTTATATAAAAAAAGGAGGAACACAATTTGCCATATTGGAGGAGAAATGGGTGCTAAGTGCTAAAAAAGACGAATAGCTTTTTCTAAGTGGCGATAGCTTGAGAAGGAAATTAGAAGAAAATAAATACTTGCAATAGTAGGTTGTTGGTATTGGATGGTGTGACAACATGAGGGTTTTGGCTTTGTGTCGTCTCCTACATGGCAACATGGGCCGAGAATGGTGTTATGACATATGGCGCAAGGCATGTGTATGCAATATGCTTAACATGGGCAGTTGGGAGAGGTTTCTGTCAGGGATTTATTTAAAAAAAATTAAAAATGAAGGCCCTAGCGTCCCCCATGTTGTATCAGCCCAGGCTTGATGGATCATGTAGGTTTATGTTGTCAGCCCTTTGAACTGTTTGTTTAACTGTTGATTTGCTAGATGTAATTTTTTGGGCACTTTAAAGTCATACATTGAATTCTCTTGTTCAGTGGCTAAGCCATATGTGTATATTTGGTTTGCAGGAGACAACATTTTCTTTTGGGATTTTGGTGACATATAAATTGCAGTCTATCACTATTCTGTTAGAACATGATGTGATTAATCGATGGTCAGTTAAACAATGATTCCCAAGTTTATTATGTTATATCAACTCAGGCAGCAGAGTGGTTAAAATCATGATCTCTTGCTTTTCTATGACAGATTCACATTTGTACCTGCCATAAGAGGTTTACCTCCTCCCCCCTTGAGATTCCAGAGGGTCAAGAAAGTTCAAGATCTTGCAGCAGCTGTGGTGGAATTTGTTCAGTTGATGAACCTGGTAGCCTATCAAAAAGGATGTGGAGCACTTTGGGAGCAGAGTTTTCTGGAGTAATTGATCCTCAATTAAAATGGAAGACGTCTTCGAATGGTAAGCAGAGGGCATTAAGGAGAGCAAGAAATTTTACTCAAGATAATAGAAAGAAATACACAGTCAAGAATAGGGAAGATATTGAGGATCTTTCTGATGAAACTTCAAAGAAAGAAGGGGACATGCTGGTCTCTGAGTCTGAGAAGGTGTGCATTCGTAGCTGTACTTTACAAATGCTTGTGCAGGGTGGTATTTTTCTATATGATTAACGATGTTTTTCTCCTGGCAGTTTGGCGTTAGTGTTCTTAGTCGGCGTTTCAGTGATAACTTGGAAAGTGTTCCAATAAAGAAAAGGAGATTTTCTCTACTTCCTTCTAAGTCCACTCCACTTATATTGTCATCTTCTGGGTTTCGTGATCACAATTATGAAAGTGGCCCCGCTTTACTTGAAAGCAGCCAAGTATCTCTTAAACGAGATGAATCTGGCATGTATTCTTCTAATGGATTGGATTGGAGTCAAAAGAAAAGTTCTGCTGACGAGAAAAGGTTCTTGGAAGACATTGATGAACGTTCAGGTGATTCTGCTGATTTTTCTGGTATTTCTATCCTGGCAGCTGCTGCTTGTTATAGTAGCATAGAGAGAGGATTCATGGATGGTAGGAGTTCAACAATTAAAGGACATTCATTTGATGAAAATCCCTCATCATTAAGGTTTTCAGAATCACTTGAAGGTATGGACCAGCCATCCAAACTTGAACTTGGAAACAAACCAAAACCATCAATGACATCTCTTGCTGCTGGTGAATCATGTGGTAGAGAACCAGATCAAATAAGGTTTGATGAATGCAAGAGAAAGAATTATGTTGGTTCCTTGCAGAGTTTGTCAAGCAATAAGAAATTGGCGCTTAATCGTGATGATAGACTTCATTGGGATCTTAATACAGTTATGGATGTATGGGAAACCCATTCAGATGACTTCTCTATTTCTGATCCACTTCATTCTCATGTTAAAAGTAATGGGAGTCATGACACAATTTATGGAAACCAAGGACTTGGTCAGGATGAAGCTGTTTTTGGAATTAACAAAGTTGGATTGATAGCTGCTGATAATAAAGATATTTCACAATGTTTTGAGGAGGGAGATGGAAAGCATGTTAGCCGTGTGGCAGATTGTGATAAAAAAAAAAGTGGCTTACCCGGGACTCAAGTCTGTGAATCTTTGCAGGAAGAGTGCCAGTTTAAGGATGCTAGGTTCATCATGGCAAATGCTCCTGAGAAAACATGTCCTGCAGGTGGTGGTGAGAATTGTTGCATTGCTACAATAAATGCTCATCCCATTAAAGACTGTGCGCTATTAGATAGGGACCTCTCCACAAAGGCGGTTAATGCATCTGATGAGAAGTATAAAACTGATAATGTAAATTTGAGTGTGGAAATGTACTCTCATAATGCCCTTCCTTCTCTGAACGCCTTTGATCCATTTGCTGAGGACAAAAATGTCAATGAAATGTTGCATGATGATAACATAGCCATTGATACTGTAGGTTGTTCTAATGATCATTCTGGAGAATACCACCCATTATATGTTGGGGAAGGTAATCTTCTGAGGAGTCCTCATTCTGAGAAGCATCAGTCTATATCTGCTGATGTAACTCTCAGTATTACTGTACAAAAGTCACCTGCTGGACAACTTGATCAGAGCACTTCTGGAGTTATTATTCAAGAAGATGAAAAAACTCTTCAGGTATCGCTTGATGGATGCAGTTCCAAAACCATGACAACTTATGGCTGCCTGGCAGATGAGACTGCATGTACTGATGAATTTGGTAAAGCCTATCCTCATTTGAATCAATCTACTGCCTCTTTTGACTCTAAAGGAACGTCCTATAATGAGCAGCTTCCCTCTATAAATGCATGCAATAATAAATATAAAGTGTCTTCTACTGATTTGAAGGTTGATGACTGTAAATCTTACATTTTTAGTGCTGAAAGTTTGACTGCAAGCACAGTTGCTTCACTTCACACTTCACCAAAGCTTACCAATTCAATATCAGAAGGATTTTTTATGGAAAAAGATGAAATTCCTTTAGCCGACAATACCTTAATTTTGAATGAGGAATCTGAAACAGTTGCAGATGGTCATGTGCAGCGCTCGGTTAAGGATTCATTAGAACATTTTGACTCGGAACATTATTCAGATGCTTGTCCATTTGATACTGATCATGCTACTGGATTGGAAAAGATTGACCCTCTTGGAGATGATTGTTCTCAATATGAAGATGGAGAGTTGAGAGAATCTCTTCTAAATAGTTGGGAACCAGGAGTTGAGGAAGCGGAAACTGAACACGTGGACTATGGGTCAGACTGTAGAGAAGTTGATTTTTTTGAAGCTGAGTCTGATTTTTGTTCTCCATCTGAATTGGCAGTTGAAACTATAGAACCTCAACATGAAGGGAAGTTGGTTTCTACTTTCAGTGATGGAAGTAGAATGAGGGTTTCAGAAGATGATTCACAATCTAAATGTTTTCAAAAGCACTTTTTGACGAAAGATGCTTCAAATGTCAATTATGTTGAGGAATCTGCGATGAAAATTATGGATGTAAGTGTTGTGAGTGAAGTGCTTGCAAGAGATGAAAACAGATTGCTGACATCTAATGTACCTACTGTCTCGAGTGATGTTCCTGGGAAATCAATTAAACAAGACAGTTCTAGACCGAAGTCTTCAGGATGGGACAAATTGCCTCAAAGGGAAGTTGATGTACTTTGGAATCACGATGGTGCTTCTGTCACAACATCAGTTAAAGGTGAATATGCTAGAAGAACGGTAGTTTCGTCGGTCAAAAAGGTTGCATCTTCAAGAGTAGAAAGATCAAAATCTTCTGAAACATTATATAGAAAGGATGCATCTTATACAATGGAAAACAAGTAATTTCCTTTTCATTAACATACAGCTTATCTTTTGTTTTGTAGTTCTGTTATCATTTCATTTGCTTCATCTATTCATATGTTCAGGGAACTTGGCCACTTTGCTTTAAGTGCTGAAAGGAGTACTAATGCAAGCAGATCAACTGGAAGGAGCAAACCACCTTTCCGTTCTCATGGTAGAGGAAGAGTCGAGTGTTGGGTGGGTTCTCCAGAGCATCGTGGTAGTTGTCGTTTTGATACATCTGGGCACTATTCATCTCTCAATTTTGCACCACCTAGTTCAAGGAATGCAACTGCAGCTGCTGTCGCAAAGGTGGAAAACAATGGCTTCGTTGTTGCGCCTGATGGCACAATTGTTAAAGCTGTTAGTATGGGACCAGGATCCCATTTATCTGGCCGTTGCTCAAATTCTTCCGCTCATTTACAGTCTACAAGAAGGGGATCAATCATGGAGAGTGATGCAGCATTTGACATGTCTTCTGAGCCAAGCAATTCTACTAGAGAATTTAGCCCTGAAAGATGCTTTAGTGTTGGTAGGGGAAGAGCGAGTAGGCGTGATTCAAAGTTCATCAGCCTTGGTCATAGGAATATGTATCAGGCTCCTATGCTTGATCGCAGGATTGACCCTCTATCATTGCCCCATCCTTCATCTAGCAGGCAGAGGAGCTTTTCTCCGCTGAGAAGGCCCAATCATTTATCGCGCGAGCTTACGAAATCACCCACAAGATCTAAAACACGCTCACCCCATACTTGGACGCCTCCGAGAGGAAGAGACAATGGCCGGATACGAAGGATCCCGAGAAGGAGATCACCGCAGCACCAGTTTATGCATGCTGAAGAGTTATCTTCTCACGCTCCTTTATCTCGAAGTCATTCTTCACCACCACATGCTTCAAGATGGTTTGAAAACGAGAGAATCTTCCATGATCACCTTGGGGAGCATCAACCTAGAAGTCGTCCTCCTGGGAGAAGCCCGCCAGCCAGATTTTTCTCCCAGAGCAATAGGCTTGTGAGGCCGGATGATTGCTGTCAACCAATTTATTCTGGAAGGTGTTATGATTATACTGACTTTGGCAGGGGAATGAGGCATGATAGTAGAAATGATGGCAGAAGGGGGAGAAGTCATAGATATGAATCATTGGATCCTGAAGAACGTTTGGAAGGTAATGGAAGTAGAACCAGGGTTCACGACCTTCAACCGAGGCCCTCTGTATTTCAGCGGAGGGAGAGTCCGAGGAGATTTGATAGGAGCATCGATTCTCAACGTAAAGATTCACCTCGAAGATACAGAGGAGAGATGTTCCATTTCCGACGAGGCGGTGATGGAAAGTTGAATGCGGACTACAAGCCAATTGGCGTTCGAAGCACCAGTGATGATATGGATTTGCAGAGAAGGCCTTCCTGATTGGTTGTTTTCATCTATTTTCTTTTCAGTCGGCTGGAGATGCTGCACCCAGTTTTTATTTTTGTGATGGGAAGAAAAGCATCTCAGGCTTGCGGTTATTATTCCATTTTGCGGCGCTTGTAAATAGTCTAGAATCTAGATCTAGAAATTCAAACTTCTCTCTTTTTGTTTTCTATTTCTTTGGTCCGGTTTTATTTATTTTTCCCTCTGAAGGCGGTAGGTAGATAGAGTGTTTACGAGGCCTATGAAGAACTGATTGATTAATGAAAATGATAAATTGGTCTTTTTTTTCCATTTGTGGTTGTGGGTGCTTGATGATTTGAACGAATTGTTGACATGGGAAACCCTTGACTGCCATGGGGGTGCCAATAAATAGCCCCTACAAATCCTGAATTATTATTCATTTTTTGTTTAATGTTATCTTTTGAGTGACTTTCTTCACAAATTATTTTGAATTACTGTTACCTGTGGCCTTTTTTTTTCTGCTTAATCTTTGGAGATGGGTTTTATTAACTCATTTGTTGGAAAAATTATTTCATAAGGAGATCACCCCGTCCATCATTTAAAAAAAAAAAAAAAAAAAATAAATTAAAGATGAGGCCTATCGAAATACATATTTGCCTTGATGAATGGTGTAGACCGGACAGCATATGCATTTCTGCATATGCAGTCCGTATGGAATAATTTTTCCATTTGTTGGGCATAATTTTTATCCATCACTGCACATCTTTAAACTGCCTAGATTCAAATTTCATTTTCCTTTTAAAACCGATGACACTATTTTTTTTGGTGTTTTGGTCTAACATAGTAATTTCATCACTTATCTTATTATTATTATTTGTTTATATATATTTATGCCACATGCATTTTAGTATTCTCAGTTTTGCCTTGCTTAATTTAGATAGCTAGGACTATTTATAGCTCAACAATCTATATATATATATATATATATATATATTTGTATATAATATATCTAAAATTATCTTTTAAGCCTATATGACATCATTGTATGCCACAAAATTTCAGGGATGCCTTTGTTTTAATCTTATAACCTCAATTCTAGAACTTGTATTTTTATTTATATATCTTTAAGCCTTTTTCATGAAGGTAATATTTTTTGTTTGAATTGTTAAATAACAATTATTAGCATCTTTTCCTTAAAGTTATTTATCATTTGCTAAATATTTATTCTTTTTTTTAATTGTTTGTATCTTCTAAAGACTTTTCCACTTCTTATATCTGGTGAATTTCATTGCATATCTCAATAATTAAAATTATGTCATCTATACAAAAAAGGCTAGGCCTTGATATCTTGTTTCAAATATTTTTGTAAATATTATTATAATCAATAAAAATAAAGAACTCATGTTAATCTTAGAGGCAATTCAAACCTTTTGGGGCGTTGCACTTTTTTCTCCTCCATGGAAATCTATGGTAACATGTATTTTAGTGGTCTCGATGTGCATTTCATTCTCATTTCTTATATTACATTGCTCTTTGAAGCAGTAATATGTTTTCCTGGAATACTGTGAATGAAAAAGCTCAGCAAATATCTTTAAAGCAGGAGTACGTTTGTCGATTGAAGTTGATTAGATGTGCAGGTCAGTAGAATTCTCGGGGTTTTGTTCCTGCTTATGAATCATTTCTTTCTTCATGATTACTTCGACTCAGTTATCAACATCAGATTTTTATTATTTTTAAGCATCTAGTGTTTTATATGTGGCTTCTTATAAGCAGTTGGTGTACTTGTTAGATGAAGGGAAATATTACGTACGCTTCACTTTTTCTAAGTCAAATTCTTTACTTATGAAATCTTGGTAGCCTGTCTCACTTGGGAGTGATAAGTTCTTTTTGACTTCCAAAATTTTCTACATATTTCTTCCTCTTTAGTGTAGTTTAGTTAGCTTTTTTTTTTGGTAGGGAAGTGAATATTTATTGTTGGGTGACATTTGATTAGGTTTGTGTTGCTGCATCAAGTCCTATTTTGAAAGCATTGTGGTACAGAGTCTGCAAGTAAATCAATATTTTAGCAAATCCTTCAAATGTATGTTTTTCTTACTTCTTCAACTGGGATCAGATTTTTCCAACTGGTCAGTGATATCTATCAATTAATTGTGAAAAAATGTTATACTAATGGTTCCAGTAATTCATGCATATTTCTTAAGGCTTTTACAAACATTTCTATTGTGTTGCTGAGGTATTTTTATTAGTAATTGTTTCGTGGAACATGGATGGATGTGTGATTGATCTCAGGCCATTGAAAGGTGGTATTGTATGTGGGACTAGCATGACTCAGTATCTACTATTCAAGAGTCAAGACAAAGTTTCCTACCACAATCTATAAAGCTTTGACATATCAAGTATTAAAAGCAAGCCAGACGGTGGCCTAAGCACTCTGGCAACTTCAGTGGTTTGGGCTGCTTACAAACGAGTATTATTTGTAAGATGTGCTTATGCAAGTGCCTCGTCTTATGACATTAGACTATCAGCTGAATAGCTTGTCTTGATCGAAAAGATGGTGACCCAATACAATATGTTATGACTATTGGGTATTATTTTGTTGTTTTGGAATAGTTTGATATTGTAATATTTAATATTTGCTCATGAGTGGTTTTCCAATTTCCAATATGACTTATTCTATCAGTAAGATTTTGTGTCTTGTAAGAAATGAAATATAAGAAGGATTTCACGTGACCTCCCTTGTAGGAATTTTTCGCCTCTCTCATGTGATTTCTTTTTTCCATTATTCTTTTCTTCATTATGCCTCCCTTCTTCGAGGCATTCTCTCATTCATTCCTCATTTATTTTCTTCGGTTGACCACTTTGGTTCTCCTTCTACACTAAGTTCTTTATTGTTTTACTTCTTTAGTTTGCAATTCAAGTCATAAAACTACATAATTTATGATTTTTTATTCTTTTTGCTTCTTCATTGATTCTCTGAGCAATGTGTTTGTTCTTCCTTCCAAGCTCCTTTCAAACCATTGATTTCGTCCTACACTCCCTCTTTCTGTGCAATGCTTACCCTCAAATGTCTCCTTAATGAATGATCCCGCATGGATGTTATGTTCTTAATTTATGCATCATCATCCTCATCCTCATTGTTGCTCCTTTCGACTCCATTGTAGTCTATTGCATGGATTTGGAGCCTTTTTCTAACTAAAAATGAACTCAACATTGTTGTAACTCCGTTATCCATTATCCATTATCATTCATGTGTTATCCAACTCCCCTTTTGATAAGAGTAATCATATTGCCAATGTTGTCTCGTGCAAATATATAATTGACCTATAGATATAATACAAACTAGGGCTGTTAAAAATGGCTAATGGTCTACTTTGGGTTTAGCCAAAAATTTTCTACCTCAAATATTAATCTGATTTGTTTATTAAATACGCTAAAAACTTTAATATGATCATGACTCAAATATCTGACCATGCATGATAAATACATTAGTTGTGCTAGGATAGTGTCAACTTGATGATTACTCAACTATATGAACTTGTAAACTTGAAAAATATAAAATACCAAATTTTAATATGATTATTTAACGAAAAAAATAAACAAAAGTACAATCAAATTGGTTCAATTATTTTTTTTTTTGTGGCCTCAATGCAACCAATGTTTTTGGATGACTTGAAATCAACTCAAACTTGACAATAATCTTACATGGGTTGGCTTGAACTCAACATATTTGTGCCTTACTCAAGTCAGGCTTTAGCTTTGGGTCCGATTTTGGCACCCTTCGCATGGACTGTTCTTGTTTCCTAACTATGCTTATACATTCAATGGCTACCTTGCCTACTTTCTAGTTGTGCACAACTGTAGTAAGGCATCTTGCTTGCTCTCTTTCACCCACACGTGGGTTTGCTTTCTCACCTGCTAGCTCATCACTACATTGTTGCATATCTCTTACACATGTTTACTTATACGGTTCTATCACTCACCTATTTATTTCTTACACTAATAAATTCTTCTATCACATGACTTTTCTTGAAACTTTCCTATTGAGTTGCTCTAAATTTTCAAGCCTTAGCACAATTGTAGGCCTAATAAAGACTAGGGGACGGAGAGAGAGAGAGAGAGATTAGATTAGCTTGAATAATCTATTAACCTTTTGCTGTAGAAATTTATAGACTAGGGGGCGTGAAGTATTCAATTATCTGCCTACCACTATTTGAAATAAAGGTATCATGGGGCATTTTGGTGATAAATAAATACATGAATAAAATAAAAAAAGTCTCTTACTTGGCTATCTCATCCTCCAGTCGTCTGAGCCTGAGTCTCCATTCAATTTGTCTGAGGATCTTTGGTCAACCAAATTATAGGCTTTCGATTAGCCGAACTATGGGCTTTCTGTCGGTTGAATTATGGACTTTTGGTTGACCGAATTTGAGGGACTTTGATCGATTATGTTGTGGTTCTTTAGTCGCCCAGGGTGTGGACCTTTGGCTAGCCAAGCTAAGGACCTACAGTTGGCCAAGCTAAGGACCTACAGTTGGCCAAGCTATGGACCATTGATCAACTGACTCTCTTTATCTGATTAGCATTTTTCATTCCTTTTTGGGGAGACACCTGCTATCAAGAGGAGGCATGTTTGCAGGGCAGGGGTGCTTTACCGTAATTTGATAGGTAGCTTCACCTCTTCGACAGGAAAGTCACTAAGGGGTTATGTTGGTGCCATATTATGCACTAGTTTCTGTGAAGAGCCTTTAACGTTCTTTCCAAAATGATATGTGGTGTTGTTTTGAGGGGCTTGACAGATCTAACTTTCTTTAGAGATGTTCTCTGATCCTTGTTCAAAAGATTTGTTGTTCAACAAGTTTTGTATACTTTCTTGGAGTGGCCTTGGTTAGGCATTGGATTTCATGGATTAACGTTGTTGTGATCTTTAACTTCCAGAGAGCCATCTTTAACCACACTTGTCTTTGGGAATATACGATTCCTTTGATATTTGTGTTGACACGTTGTGTGTGTATATATTTAGTTTTCCTGATTCTCTTGTTTCTTGAAAGTCATGCTGTAATAAAAATAAGAGAATTTAATAGAAAAAGTAGATACATTTATGTCAAAATTAGTGCTTTAATAATGAAACTCCTTCAATTTTAGATTCAGTAATCTTCTATAAATAGCACGTTGAGGATTTCCTAGTCATTCACATTCTTTGCGAGTGTGTTGGTTTGTTCTGGGTGGCAGTAATGGCGAGCGGCAAGATGTCTCCGTTGGATGCCTTTT